GTATGTCTGTGTCTATATGTCAGGTTGGGTATCAGACGCCACCTCTCTGGGGACACCTCAGGCCCTCCAAGGTTTGGAGGCCTATCTCCACCCACCACCACTTCCCCTGCCGGTGGCGGACTCCCTCAGGTGTCGGTGTGTTGGTGGTTCTTTGTGTCTGGGGGTGGGCGTCCGGGTACACACCGGCTCACTCCTTGGCGGCCGCTTGTCGGGGCCTGGGGCCTGGGGCTCGCTCGGGCCCCTTTGGAGGTGGGGTGCCCCCGGCCTCTCGGCCTAGGGCTCGGTCACTCAGGCGCAGCTGGGGCCGGCGGAGCTCACGGGCGCGTCACTGCAACTCCCCCTGACTTCTGCTCCGCGGCTGCTGGGCGAGCCCTCATCTGGGACTCTCCTCAGCTCTTACTGGGACAGTGGCGCGGCTGCCCCTCTGTTGGTCTTCCATGGTCTCTTGTATTCTGGGGGCCTCTGGATGTCTGGAGTTTTGATCTCCTCCATACCCGCTTCACACCCTGGAGGACGGGGCTGTGGCCCCCCCACACTCCCTAGCAGATCATTACATGGAGAAACCTTTGGAATGCAAGCATGCTGATCCACACAGGTATGCACACATGGGTATTCACAGACGCGGACTAAAGCTTTCTTGGCTGCTGCCTCAAAGCACACTGTGCGCTGTCTATCTTGCGTGCTGCACAATATCGTTTATTACTTAGTAAATACTGATATCTATGACTAGCTAGTTTATTGTGATGGTGCTTTGTTTTCTCTATTATTATGTTGCTCTTTGTTGTTTGCTGTCTCCTCTGTTTGTTTTTGTTTGGTTTTTTTTTTTTTTTTTTTCTCCATACAGGTGACCCAGGAGTTTTTTTTTTTCTCTCTCTTCCCCCCCTTCTCACCGTCTCTTCTCCCCTTTGGTTTTCTTTCTTTCTCTCCCCCTCTCTCTCTCATTCATTCCCCCTGTCCTATTTATTAAAAAAAAAAAAAAAAAAAAAAAAATGACAAAGGATGAACTGAAGCTCTGCCATCACGTAATGTCGCATACTGCTGTTTCTGATGTCATTTAAAAAAAAAAAAAAAAAAAAAAAAAAGTAAATGAAATATTTTTTTCTACTTTTTGTCATTCTCACTGTAAATTGACATCATGATTGATTGAAGGAAGAAGTGTTACAATAGAAAGGCACAATCTACTGAGTTTAAAGGAAGCAATCAAAATCCACACCAAAACCTAGTGGGTTCTTTCTTTGCTCGTGCTTCACCTCTTTATCAAGTTTCATGAAATCTGGCTCAGTAGTTTTTGTGTAATCCCGCTGACAGACACCTCCGGTGAGGCCCTCCACATGGCAGAAAAACAATGGAAAACTCGTTGTAATTACAGGCATGAAAAAACTGTTAATCCTTAGAGCCCTGTCACTGCCAATCTAGACACTTTATTTTTTTTTAAACATTTCTGGCTCTGGGAGTTCTCAGTGAAGCTTTGACTGAACACACAGCCATAAAGATAGGATATCGGCTCTCTCAGCAAACATGTTTTGGTACCTGAATGTGGAAAATGTGGATGAAAGACATCTGTAAGGGGCGAGGAGCGAAGCTGCCTCCATGCAAAAAAGATGAGGCCGGATAAGGAGGAAGCTATTTGTTCTGATGCCACTAAAGTCAGGCTAATTAATTTCAGTCAGACGTGCTTTGCTGTCAACATCCTTTGGCTTTATTAATGGATTTCATATTATCTGATTCTGACTGGTATTTGCATTCTGAAAGAGTGGGGACGTATTTGTTGATTTTTCCTACCATCCTTCATTTGCCAATAATATTGTGTTTGTGTGTGCAAAGTAAATGACATTGTGAGAGCGCGCTTTCATTTTATATCGCAAAATGTAGGTATCACTATACAGGATTTCATAAGCAGAGGTTTCTCATGAACAACTGTCATCTCCACCTACACCTTTTGGTTTCATGATTGTGGGTCCAACTCCAACTCACATAAGGAGTAATGCATTTTTAATCATGTGAGGGTTTCCTAGCACTTCATGTGCCTGCTGTCTGCTGTCTAAAAAACATAGTCGGGGACAGGAGAGAAATAGTGTGTCACATTCTGAATATTTTAAAGCCTAAAATGAAACATTTATGCTCTAAATAATGAACTTACAACCTCTATTCTCTGACTTTACATTAGAGAATATACAAAACAAGACACCTTTGTTCAGCTCGCCTAGGTCTTTGCATCATTCATTTGCTTCTTCACAATGGCTATAAGTAACAGACTCCCTTCATGCCTTTGTTTTCTGACTTTGAAATGGATCCCAGGAGAAATAATGAAAGCCTCCGTTGTTAGTTTCAGTCATATCTCCCGACACTCAGTGTGGCTTCAGTGTTTTGCATAATGTCCATGAATAATGGACCCATCTTGGAGGTACAGTCCCAAATACAACCTAGTTTTAGCAGAAAATCCCATTTGAGCATTGCTGTGAGTTCACCTGCACCGCGTAGAGCACGTAACACTCGGCGCTTCACTTGACTGAATTATTGCGTGCCATAGTCAGTGTGGGCTCTCCCCATCATCATCTCCAAATGATCAACAGTAGGGCAGCAGTAATAGATTTTGTAACAGCTGTTTTAGGCAGGTCAAGTCTGGCTTGTCTGTTTTAGTAAAAGGTAAAAAACATTTAGAATGTGAAATTGTGTTCTTGTGTACAGTACTGTGCCCTAAAAACAGCCTTTGTGAGGTTATCTGTTGAGTCACCATTTGGGTAAAGACAAAACTGTCCAGTATGGAAGATTTCTCTCCCTCCCATTCTATTTAAAAGTAGAATGGGAGGGAGAGCCTTCAGTTTTCAGGCCCCTCTTCTGCAGAAACAGATTCCAGTTTGGATTTGGGAGACAGACACTATCTCTACTTTTAAGATAACGCTTAAAACTTTCCTTTTTGCTAAAGCATACAGATAGTGCATCATGGGAATCCCCCAGCAGCCTACAGCGTCACCTGATCCAGCCCTGAGTATTTTTCACTCACTGTGTGTTAACAGACCTCTCTGCACTGAATCATACTTGTTATTAATCTCTGGCTCTCTTCCACAGCATGTCCTTCATCCTGTCTTCCTTCTCTCACCCCAACTGGCCGCCCCTCCCTGAGCCTGTTTGTGCCGGAGGTTTCTTCCTGTTAAAAGGGAGTTTTTCCTTCCCACTATCACCAAAGTGTTTGCTGTGTTTTTCTCTATATTGCAAGGTAGACCCTACAATAATACATACAGAGCGCCTTGAGGCGACTGTTGTTGTGATCTGGCGCTGTATAAATAAAATTGAATCTCTGCAGTACTGGCATAGTTTACGTCTTATCAGTACAGCAACTCCTTCCAGCTGCTGTACTGACCTTCTGTTAGCCAAATTGGAGGTCCTCATCTCCTGCCAGTGGTATCAGTAGTTCTCAACCATCTGACTTAATAATACAACGATGCACTTGAACTCTTGGCTTTTTCTGCTTAATTCAAAATGATTTCGCATTGTTAAAAAATAAATAAATAATAAATAAATAAATAAATAAATATATATATATATATATATATATATATATATATATATATATATATATATATATATATATGACATTGTAGTTTATAGTCGCCAGTCGATCGTGTAGTTTAACATGATTATTTCCTGTGCTTACTTCGTTTTGGGATGTGAGTAAAACATTAAGGAGCAAATCTTAAGCAATCGTGACTTCCTGATTTCACTTCCAAGTGGGGAGTAAAAGATTAAGATGTCAGAGTGCGCCATCATAATGTCTCTATGGGAAGTGAAAGAGTGAGGGATGAATTTAGGCTCTGACATTGGAGTTTTACCACCATCCTTGCCCACACACTGTTGTTACTTCCATGTACAAATGACAGTGCCTGGCCCACACTTATTCTCCTAGTCTGCCATCCTCCAAATGTACATGAAGACAGTGAGTGGGGAGTGACAATAACAACTCTTCTTTGAAGAGGAATGTATACTCAGAGGCTATACTCAGATGTGGGGGTGGAGGTGGTGCCAAAGAAGTGATGCATGAACAGCAGCAAGCATAGATTTTAGTGGGAAACAAGCAAATTTAGAAAATAAGTGAGCAAAGCACTAATGATATAAGTGCAAACAAGTTTCAGTAGCAGGATGCACTATGTGAGAACAGTTAAATTGACTGCCTAAACTATCTTCTAGAGTATCTGTAAATTTGATCACAGCCAAAACTGCACACAAAGCAGGTGTTTCACTGTATTAATAAAGCAATAATAGCAGCCATTAAGATGTGTAAACTATGAAGAGTGTGTAGCCAACTGTCTTGCAGAACCCACATGTATCTGCAAGATAAATGCTTTTAATTGCTGCCCGAAGGAGAGTGAAGATCAATGACTGACATTCTTTGTCAGCTCTAATTTGCCTGGTTATATTTAGCCGTTATTTTGATGCAAGTTCTCGGGAGGAATCTACAGGCTTCAATCGAAGTTTCATGTGTGTGCTAAAATCTCCGAGAGCTAATTCTCCTGTTTTACAAATTCCAAATACTTGAAGTGTGTTATGGGTCGAGGTTGGTGGATTATAAACATACCTGTGGGAAAAAAGCAGCAAAGAAAAGGTGGATTCAAATCCACTCTTCTAAGACAGAGATAATATTAACATTCCCAAAAACACAACATTGGATTCAGTATTTTTTTTAAAAACCTCACAATTAGACGCAGGGTTGGGCTGAGGTGAAGGAAATGTGCTGAAGCAAACAGTTTGTGAGATGGTGTAATTTAATTTCCATATCAAAAGCATAATATGTATTGAATGTTTGCAGCGAGGGCTGCAGTGCTTTTGTATTTTTCTTTGATGTGGACACATTTGTGTTCAGACAAACACATTCTTGGCTCTTCTCGAAGGATTCGACTGGCTGCTTAGCACACAGACTTCTGGCTGCACGTCTCTTTCTGCCTTTATTCTTCTCTAACACGGGTTGTCAGATCTTTATATTGACTCTACTTTTCTCTTCCCAGGAGTACCAGATCGATATTATCTTCGCCCAGACTTGGGTGGACACCCGTCTGAGGTATAACAGCAGCAGCATGCGGATTCTAACCCTCAACAGGTATATTAGATTAAGTAAAGACATACTATAAAGTTTAGCAAAGACATGCTGCAAATATACAGGAACGTTTATTAAAAAAACTCCTAAATATATCAGCTTTGTGGGTGAATCAATACCAATGTAGTGATAATTATACTAGATCTCTTTTTTAAAATGAACTACTGCTGTGGCTATTTTTCACCACTTTAGCATCTACTATTTGAACATTTTCATATGATAAAGCAATATTCTTCACTCCCTCTGTCTCTCTCTCTTTGGAAGAGGTCTGTAATTAATGGAACAAATTGATTGATGTGCTTTGTTTTCCCCTAGTTACCCGAGTATTTTATTATGCTCTTATTGGGAATGAGTGCAGCCTCGTGCATTTCAAAGAAATCTGAGGGAATCAGTCTTACCTCCTTTCCTCTCTCTCTCTGTATCAATTTCCCTCTTTTTCAACCAGCAATATGGTCGGTCTGATCTGGCTGCCCGACACCATCTTTAGAAATTCCAAGAACGCCGATTCTCACTGGATAACGACGCCCAATCAGCTGCTCCGGATCTGGAACAATGGGAAAATACTTTATACTCTGAGGTAAAACCCTTCAAAACACATGGAAACACACAGAACAGGAAGATAAAAGAACAAAAATCGAGAGCAGACATATCACAGCCAATGACTGCTGGTAAAAAAAATCTTTTCATGAGAAATACTCCCTCTATTCTGATTCTTAATGCCAACTGTATATTGTGGATAAACAAAATTCTGCCACCAGTGTTGACATTGAGTACAGACAATAAAAGACATTTGGACTTTAGTCTGTCTAAAGAGCCAGATGGATGAACCTATCTGTATGGGACCATAGCAATCCAGATTTGTGGCTGCAAAAAAGACAAAAGAAGAAAGAAGTCAATGAGGAAAGACTTCTGTTGGCTTTACTGGCAGATTCACTGTTTTTTCATACATTTTAAATTAAGTCCAAAAACAGTACCAGAAAACAGGATTTACCTGTGATATTATTGGCCAACAACTTGTGACTGACAAGTCATTAGCCAATCAGGCTGCAATCTCACAGTCAAATGTGCCCCTCGTTATCATGTTTGATTTCGAAAGACCAAGATGGCAACAAAAGAAAACATTTGAAGCTATGGGTGATGTCACTGTAGCTCCGTCTGTAATTTAGTGTTATAACTCTTTAAATATTTCTTGTTGCCCCCTGGTGGGATGTGAAGGTATTGCAAGTGGGTCTTTTACAATAAATATATGTTTTTGTTAAAGGAAAAAAAAGTTTCATTTTGTAGCTTTGTCTAAAATCAATTGTTTATATTCACAAAGAAATAAAAAAGAAAGAAATCATCACATTTGAAAATCCAAACCCTAATTTCTCTGATACTTTGCCCTTAGCAGGAAAGAGCTAAAACTGGAGCATTGGCTGTCGGCTGCCAAAAGTAAATCTTTGAAAGTAGAATCAACCTGAACATGCAGATTGCTATCCATTTGTATCTTGTCTTTCTGTTAAAGAGATGAGACTTGCCTTTCTTAAGGTGTTCTGTGACTGAAGTCTAATAATTAATACCAATAGACCGCATTGATAGAACTATGAACAGTCAACTGATCACTGCGTAAGGCTACCCCTCCTTCAGGCTGGTTCTGCCAGAGGTTTCTTCCTGTTAAAAGGGAGTTTTTCCTTCCCACTGTCACTAAGTGCTTGCTTATAGGGGCTCATGCGATTTTGGGGGTTTCTTTGGAATACTTTAGGGTCTTGACCTTGTGAATAAGCGGCATATAAATGAAACTGTTTAATATATATTATTGTTTGTTAGATGGCGTTATCTTCCTTTCCATTCATGCAGAACGGGCCAGTGTATGCTATGTTTGAGGAGGTAACAAAAGGAACAACAGGGTGCTTTCCTTTAGCATTCAAAGACCAGCCATTATTATAGCTGCGCCATATTATACCGCTCACGGTAATACCGGTACAATGCTAGGCAATGATAAGAAAATGAATTATCGCGATAGAATATGGGTAGAACGCGCATGCGCATTGATGAAAAAGCACGGCGTAACGGAGAATGAGAATGGGGAAAGCAGATTGTTGAGTGAAACGGATGAACCAGAATTAGACTGTAAAAATGGTGCAACTTAACTGGTTTGGTGTTTGTCCGTCAGATACACAACAAAGCACATTTTTTTGTAGAACATGCAAGCGGCCGTCGTTATTGCCGTAGGCCTATTTGTCGGACTAAGGTGCTCGTAAATCTGGGAGTAATCTGGGTCCTAAACTCCGTCCTTTAAGGTCCCGAAGTCAAACGAACATCAGAAACTGTCTAAATTCTTCCATCTTTAATAAAACGATCAGCGTTGCTGCTTTACCAGGTGTAACTATGATGTTTAACACCCAGGCATCCATGAAAACAGAATTCATTACATTTAACAGAGTTAGAAGTTAGCGGAAGTTAGCTCGCTAGTTTCGCTAGTTACCTAAGCATGATATTGCATGTTCTGACTGAGAGATTTCTGAAAAAATCTAACGTACAGCTCTGCTATCACTTCCAACATAAATGAAGACAGGAAGCTACACAGCAGTGACGTTTGTAGGGTTACTGAAGTAGGGCTAGCTGGTATATAATGATGTGCTACGTGACTGCTAGCGACACAGCTATGTTAGCATAACATAAACAGAAAAGCTGGAGGATGAACGCTAACACTTTTCCACTCGATAAAAGTTAACGTGAAGGTTCCTGATGGTTAGAGACAAATGCAATCGCATGCTAGGATGCTGTAAACAGGCCAAACTTCAGTCAGGAGAACAACTGAGATAATCCATCCACAATATGAGGTTAGTCATTAATATACTGCAACAACATGGGAATAGAGCAGCTGTGATAGAATACAGCATTAACGAATCAATGGTACAGAAGTGGAGGAAGCAAGAAGAATGAGTTGAATAAAGTTTGATTTATCTGACTGCTTTGTTTCGCTTAATGTGCCTAATAATCCCGTGCACCTTGTGGTCCGAAAAATACATATTTGACTTTTTTATTTGGCACACTGCAGTTAAATGTAGCAAAGCACCTCTTTTTAACTTCAGTGGATATTATACATGGTTATGCTCAGGATATGTCAGCCCATTTCTACTGGAAATGCCTTTTGGTTAAACTTTCAGCAAGGAATTTGCATTTGCACTGTTAAATGTTTATATAGCTTCAATGCACATAAAAAAACAGCTGCTTGTTTAAGTGAAATAAATGGATGGTGTTTTTTTTTTTTTTTGCGCTAGTGAAGTTGTGGAGTTGTATTTTGTCTCGCAGAAATTATATCGTCAGTTATATCGTTATCGCAAATTTTCAAATATATATCGTGATATATATTTTTGGCCATATCGCCCTGCTCTAGCTGCCATGCAAAAACACCTTCAGGAATAAAATTCACTATTTGACTGCAGTTGGTGAGTCACATAGACAAACAGAAAGACACAGACAGAGAAAAACAGAAGGCAGATCCAGAACAATAAAGAGTAAAATAAAATCTCAGGAACATTACAGTTGTATAAATCATTTTAGTAACAGCAAATAATCTGATATTGGTTGTTGTAGAAAGCAGCACCTCCCACACATACAGAACACACAGCAATGCGATTTTGATTTGTATCTTTTTAAATTCTAACTGCATCTTTCACCCTTTACATGAGTTTCTGTACCACATAGCATTCTTTACCTTTGGTGCAGTAAGATAAAACCCTTGTGTTTCTTTTCATTTTGTTGCTTTCGCTCTGACAGCCTTTCAGTGGCTGAGTAATGACACACAGGTGAAGGTGATGGCCTTATGACAACCCCCCCACCCCCACCCACCCAACTGTGTGACTGCACCTACAACAGAAAACACTCAGGATTCGAGTGGACGGGTTCCTTTTAAATTGGAGTGGCATCTGGGTTTATGAGTCCTCAAGCTCTGACATGAGCTTTTTTTCTGTCTTGAAGATCAAATTTCACCTGTGCATCTAGTATTTCGAGCTAGAGCTGGCCTAATGGCAAGGAACCACCTTGAGTGTTTGTTTTCAGACATTTTGTGGAGCTGATGCACAGCTGCTGCTATTTCAGGACAGTTCAGGTCCCGTCATGGAGGCAAATAAATTAAATAAACAGCATTTCCCAAAATGACTAGGGTGTAAGACTCTGGCATTTTATTCCTTTGTCTTGACTGGCAAATTTCGGTTAGTTCCCTGGGTATGCTGTGATGTCTGCTTGTGCAAATACTCAGAAGGGAGCCACTTTTCAGACAGCCCACTTCCATTTTTAATTTATGGGAGGAATAATTGTAGCAGGATGATTTTGGATGTTGTAGAGGTTAATAACAGTGTGATCATGAACTTCTAAATTGAGCCATAGATATGCCTGTTATCAACAGGGGTTCAAGATTAAAATGCACTGCTGTGAAACACCAAGTTTATACCTGCACTAATCAATATTTTAATATCAACAAAAGACTTAATGATTATCTCTAATGTGAAAGAGGTCACTTGTGGTGACACACCCACAGGAATTAGCAGCCGATGTGGCTGTTTCCATCAACTCTACAAAGTATTTCAGTAGCAGTTAAAGGGGAGTTCAAAAAATCATTTTGTAATCTGATACTGGATCTTAAAACAGAAGAAAGCTGTCTTCAGTAGAAGAGGGAACTGAACTAAAATTTTCTGATTGGCTGCATCTCCAAAACAGGTTTGAAAAGCAGGTGGGTGGGGCTTGTGGTAAATTGGTCAGTTGTAATGTAGGGCTTTTCTATTTTTCTTGAGCACTCATAGCGCTTTATACAACATGCCTCATTCACACAAACACACTTGGCCTAAAAGTTTTTGCTTTTAAGAGCTCATTTTATTATTTCTAGCGTTTCTTTCTGTGATGAATTTGAAAAGTCTTGCTTCGTTAGCAGGTTATTAAGTGTCAAAGAGACATATATTTAGGCCATATTCGCCTTGACTGACACATCTCTCTCATCTCCGCCGTGTTCGTTGCTGCTTGTTCTTTTTCACCTCAGCTCCACTCTCACAATTTGGCTTTTCCGACTCCCGACAAGGATGGAAGCAAAAATGCAAATTGAAACTGTACATCATCTGCACTTTGTTCACCTCGGAACAAGACGAGCGAGGCAGCCCCCTTCCTGCTTTGACAAAGGCTCCTCTTTTGTGCTCCACGTCAGGCGTTTAATGAGGAATTGTAGCAGCGACAAAGACACAACAACACAAGTCAAAGAAAAAGCCCATTTTCATGACTGTCATTTTTACAGCCCTTATCATTTTGATTTATTAAAGTGACACGTAGAGCATATAACTTGAATTGGATTTAAGTTTTTACCTTACTTGTATGATGTGTCTTTTTAATCACTGCTGCTTTTCCTTAACAGCCTGTGTATTGACTTGTCCAGTGATCTTAGCTGAGAACTGCTGTTTTTAGAAGCTGACATGCCTTGGAGTCCTGACATGTGTGAAAAACCAGACCTGATACTGATGATGAAACATTTGTGCCATTTTCAGGGATTTTACACATCAACCAAGCAACCAAGTGTGAACCTGTACTATCTGGGTGGAAGCCAGTGCTCTTATACTGTAGTGCATAATGTGATATAAGCAGTGATGAATCCAGTGCACTCAGACCATGTGCTTCATGGGCCGAGAAATGAAGCATCCAAAGCAGTTTACTGCCTTGAATATCTTTGTCTAAGTGCTTCTGTCCCTCTGCACTTGTCTTACTCTTCAGGATGACCATCAACGCAGAGTGCCAGCTGCAGCTCCATAATTTCCCAATGGATGAACACTCCTGTCCTCTCGTCTTCTCTAGCTGTGAGTATTGGGATTAGCATGCACACAGACACGGAAAACACACATAAATATGCAGATACTCGTGCCTATACACCTCTAGGGCAAGACTTTGAAAGCAGGCGGGAAACGTCCTGGAGAAAAAATGGAAACCAAATAGAAAGTGAACTAAAGGCTAAGTGAAAAAGTGCTATCAGTCAATCAAACTTTATTTGTATAGCATCTTTTGTGTGGGCTAGTGCAGTTCAAAGTGCCTTACAGATGACTGAAAGTATGAAAACAGTAAAGAAACATATTAAGGACTTATTTAGGTATTAAAATCACTGGAGCATTTGAGCATCATTCAGTGATGAGTGTCAGGGCTGGGACTTTTTTTCCCTCCCAAACTATGAATTTGAGTTCATGTAATGATAATCCCCCACACACAATAACTAAGAAGTGAGAAAAGAGAAAGCAGCTTTTTGGATAATACACTTTGCATATTAATCATCAAGGAACTGACCTAACAGTAGGGGTGGGAGAAAAAATCGATACTGTGTAGTATCGTGATATTTTGTTTGCTAATAATGTATCGATACAGGGACAGCAGAAATCGATATTTTGTTACAAACAATTTTTTCGTGGACTGGATGGTTGTATTCAGTTAAAATGGTAAATGGTAAATGGCCTGCATTTGTATAGCGCTTTTCTAGTCCCTAAGGACCCCAAAGCGCTTCACACTACATTCAGTCATTCACCCATTCACACACTGAACTTAACATTCCAGTTACCGTATTTTCACGACCATAAGGCGCACTTAAAAGTCTTAGATTTTCTTCAAAAAGTACGGCGCGCCCTATAGCGCAGTGCGCCCTGTGTTGTAAGGAGGACGTAGTAGAGAACACCATGAGAACGCTAAAGGGTGAAGTGTGGGCGCAACCCTGAAAATGGCAAAGAGACAGGCTTATGAAGCACAGTTTAAACTGAAGGCCATCAGCTACGCGGAGGAACATGGAAATCGAGCAGCAGCGAGAGAATTTAAGATTAACGAATCGATGGTTCGCAAATGGAGGAAGCTAGAAAACAAGCTCCGGCAGGTCAAGAAAACGCAGCTGAGTTTCCGCGGACGTAAGGCGAGGTGGCTCGAGTTGGAGGAAAGACTCGAGCGGTGGATCATCGAGCAAAGAACGAGCGGGAGAAGCGTTTCGACGGTCACCATTCGGCTAAAAGCAGTTTCACTTTCACTTTTTATGAAACTGTGCCATTTTTCCATCCGGACCAGGACTACGGCAGCGCAGCAACTTCCAGCGGATTATAAGGAAAAGCTGGCCATCTTCCGCTCCTACTGCAGCAAACACATCGGCGACAAAAACATCCAGCCCAGCCACATCACAAACATGGACGAGGTCCCGCTCACTTTTGACATCCCGGTGAGTCACACTGTGGAGAAGAAGGGGACCAGCACGCTAGCGATACGCACAACGGGGTATGAAAAGTCTTCTTTTACTGTTGTGCTTGGCTGCCATGCTAATGGACAGAAACTGCCGCCTATGGTGATTTTTAAGCGAAAGACTTTGCCTAAAGAGAAGTTTCCAGCAGGAATCATCATTAAGGCAAATGAAAAGGGCTGGATGGATGAGGAAATGATGAAAGAGTGGCTGAGGGAGGTGTATGTAAGGAGACCAGGTGGTTTTTTCCACGCATCACCATCGCTCTTAATCTGTGACTATGCGTGCCCATCTCACAGCCGATGTGAAAAAACTAGTGAAACAAAGGAACTGTGAGCTTGCTGTCATTCCGGGAGGCCTGACAAAGGAATTCCAACCGCTGGACATCGGTGTGAACCGCCCGTTCAAAGTAAGGCTGCGAGCGGCCTGGGAGCGATGGATGACCGATGGAGACCACAGTTTCACCAAGAGTGGAAGGCAGCGCCGGGCGAGTTACGCCACAATTTGCGAATGGATTGTAGATGCTTGGGCTAACATGTCTGCTGGCACTGTTGTTCGAGCTTTCGCAAAAGCCGGCATCATTTCCGAGGAGCCGCACGGCACGGAAAGTGACTCTGACAGTGAAGACAGTGAACCTGGCATGTTTGATGGAGATTTAGCGCAGCTGTTCAATTCAGACACAGAGGATGAGGACTTCGATGGGTTTGATGATAAAAATGTGAGTACCAAACTTTGTTTTGCTCCTGCTTTATTTTTTAAATACGCACACTTGTATGCTTGTCTGTTGTTGATGATGACGATTACTGGTAATAAAAATGTGAGTAAGGTACCGAACTCAGGTTTGCTCCCGCTTTATTTTTAAATACGCATACGGTACTTGTATGCGCCCTATGATTCAGTGCGCCTTATGTGTGTGTTAAATACAGTAATGGCACACATAACTGAGACTGCGCCTTTTAGTACAGTGCGTCTTATGGTCGTGAAAATACGGTAAGTTGGACTAGAATGTAATACAAACCGTTCAGTTTGTCAACAATAAAACTGACTGAAATGAGAGAAAGACTGAGTGTGAGACTTTGATATTAGATAAAATGAATATTGATAAAGTTTACCTTTATGTACAGAATTTGAATATTGCAAAATATTTTAAAAAATTGCAATAATATCGTATCGTGCGTTAAGTATTGTGATAATATCGTATCGTGAGTTGTATGGTGATTCCCACCTCTACCTAACAGCCCATTGTTCATTCAGTGACGCTAGTTTCAGTCATTGTGCAAATGTACTGTTTATAAGGTTGGGGAGACCTGCAGTCAGCTGAGACCTAAGAAGTCACTTGGATGAGTGAAACGTATGTCCCACTGAAAACGCTACTTCCAGATGAACAAAATAAACTTTTTGGGTGAAAGCAACTACTTTCAGCTACCCCCTTATTTATGAGTGTCACCGCATATGGCTTCTTTACATTGTTAAATCCAGAATCTAATTTAAAATCATTACCCTCTGTAACACTGGTGGTGCAATACTAGACCTGTTAGTGCTACTTCTTGCCTTCTTTGCATGTAGTGCAGGCAGTATAGTTACCTTTAACCACAGTACGAGGACAGAAGGGAAATATGGACCAGATCAGACAGGTTCTAGATTCGTAGGAGCCAAGGGTGTATGACAACAGAAGACTTGTACACAGTAGGTGTAGAAAACACAATTGCATTTATTAGCAATTATTAAAGTTGTGCACATTTAACAAAAGTAGAGCGCTCTTCTTGAAAACAAAATAAAATAAAATAAACCCCACAAATGGTTGACCCAAGGATATATTGTCTTTTGTGTCTTTTCTAAAGTCAATTTCAGTCTTTCAATGTTCAATAGTCACTCAGTGTGTTTGTAACCAGTCGGGTTACAATCTACCAGTTCATCCGGCTCTTTGGGCTGGGCTCGCCATCCAGTACTGGAAAAGGGATCCTCGATTCTTCTCAGGTCCTCAAAACCAATCCAATCCAAATAAGCAAAGGAAAAAACCTGACCATGCGAAGCAACAAATGCTACACGGGGCTTCACAGTGCTCACGTTGGCTCACGGCCTCTGGAATACAGTATCACTCTTATTATTCTTGCCGAAAAAAGGACTTTCTCTATCCAGCTAGCTTCTTCGCCACACGGGTAAACTGATCTTTCACCGTCTGTGTCTCTGGCGTATCTGACTGGCACATGAAGGCACACACAGGTGTCTGAGCAGCGCACAGACTGGGGGAGGGTCAGACCGGCCAATGATTGGTCACTCAGTGGATCTGACAAACACACTCTAAAGGACTAAGTCCTGCCCCCACACCATTTATACATTACATATACATATGTACATATTAATTAAACTTATGTTTACATGCTTTTTATCAGTATTTATTATAATTAACTTTGTTTTTATCAATATTTATTTATACTTTTAATCCCGTTTTTAACACTGGGTTACACTTCACATACAAGGTCTTAAGTAACGAGGCCCCACTTTATTATAAAGAGGTTTCTTACTGTTAAAGAGGAGTTTTTCCTTCCCACTGTTGCTAAGTGTTTGCTCATAAGGCAGGAGTGTCCAACTCCAGGCCTCAAGGGCTGGTGACCTGCAAGATTTCGATATGACCCTTGGTCAACACACCTGAATCAAATGATTAGTTCATTACCAGGCCTGGAGTTGGACACCCCTGTCATGAGGGATTGTTGGAGTTTTTTCTGTGTTATTGTAGAGCCTTTACCTTGCAATATAAAGGGCCTTGAGGCGACTGTATAAATAAAATTGAATTGATTCACAGTGGGTAGTTCCATGTGTTTGATTTGGCAGATCCCCTTACACAACCCTAAAGGGATTTGTGTCTCTTTCCAGGATCAAACCAGGGATTTTTTGCTTGTTAGGTGAATGTGTAAACCACCACACTATGAAACCATGTACAACATTGTTTGAATGTGCAAAAAGTTTCCACAGTCAAATCATAGTGAAAGTCACCTTAGTTACTGAAGTCTAGGAGTTATAAAATACATAAATGGATTTAGAAGTCCTACATCCACACTTAAGCAAGTTACTTCAGCAAATGGATGGGTACACCCAAAGTATCTTTCTACTCAATTTTGAGCACTCAAAAAGCTCAAAGAGAGTCTCATTCACCCAGTCACACACATGCAGTGCTTTTATCTAAGCACTTTTATATCTAACTTTCACACTCAAATCAATGTATCAGCAATTCAGGTTTAAATATCTTATTCAAGGATACTTTCACACAAGGACAAGAAGCACTGGGGGTCGCTCCACCAACCTTCCAACTGGTAGATGACCCGCACTATCACCTGAGCCATAGCCGCCCCAAACAAACTAAAGGTGTTAGGTTGTTAGACTGAATCTTATCTGGAATCAAGTAACCAAAAGAACAGCAGAGTAGATCCTGAGTGTCTGTATGTTGATTCAACAGGGATAATATTAAATTAAAGTTGACACCTAAGAACTTCATGCATTATTTGTATCTCCACCATAAACTGATGCAGGAAAAGTACAAAGTGGATGATAGAATGTAAAACGTTAAAGTCCTGACCCTCAAAATATCCTTGTGTCTAA